CACCCATAGATACACACGCACACAAAGACGCCTGCCGCGCACACAGCTACACACATGTGTGGTGCAGCATACGTACGTACAAATGTATATCCACATAATGAAGTAGAGCACAAATGCCTTTGGGGTGACTGGATGATGGGCCGAAACCAAAGCCAAACAGTTGCCCACTCGAGACCCCGACCCTCGTCCTTTTGCCACCCATCCCCCCCCCCCATTCTATATGCTCTTTATCCAGGATCTCCTTTTGCAGGCAATCGCCCAACATGCAACAACAACAACAACAACAACAGCCACAGCACGGGGCTAAAGTTCACATGGAACTTGCCAGCCAAACGCAAACCAACAAAAGGAATAAGTAGAGATGGTGGTGCGGCATACGCGAAACCGAAAGCTGGAAAATAACATGATTATCCAGCAGCAGCAACATGGATTTCTGGCGAAATTATAACCATTACTACGTACAATTATAAAGCCAACACCTTATCAACCAGCTCAAAACTCAAAACTAAATGAAAGCTAAATTAACTTTCAAAGGTCTCCTATTCATCATCAACTGATTTTAGGCCATTTGAATTTAGTTACTCTACTTTAAATATAGGAATCCACCATCTTTTTAGTTATTTATAAGTAGCTAAGAAACAAATATCTTGGAGTATTCCAGTAATCATTACTAAGCAGATAAAATGCTTTAAGGTCAGATATCTCATAAAACTTACGTTTAGTTAGTAGTAGTTAGTTTTAGATACAGCTGTACAATTGCAATTTACGCATAGCATTCATCATCTACGCAACCAGCAACATTGTGCCCCCAACATTTCAGACATCGCGCATTCAAAGTCCCCAAAATAAATGCCCCAAACCGCCGATAAGCGATTCAATTAAAAACCGAACCGAACTGAACTGATGAAAAATATATGCACATATATTTCGTAATACGAAATAAGCTCCGCAAATAAACGGAATCAAGCAGAAATAAGAGAATTTCCGACCACAAGGAAATCGCAATGAAAATTGGCGTACATTGTGTGCGAGCGAGATGGCGACAGAGCAGCGGCAAATGAGTGGACAATGGAAAAGCACGAATGGCTGGAAAAGCGGGCCTGCAAATATATACATAGGTACGTAGCTCACTCATCTTTAGCATTTCAATTTTGGATAGTGTTGACCCGCCCGATTCACCCCCCCCCCCCCCCCCCCTGTTCCTCTCACCCCACAAATTCAATTACTGCCAATATTTTGCAAACGTGCAAAGCAATTGCAATGAAAACACAAACGAAGCCAGCACACAGTAGTAAATTCAATTTTGTGCTATCCATCGATGATTCCCCAGAGAATCGAAAAGAGACAGAGGTATAGAGTTAATTCCCACCCCCTCGAATTTTGGGCGTGCGATTTTTTACTTTGCCCCCTATTTTAGCTGCCACTTTGAATTGTGTTTGCTGTTGGGGTGGAGCGACAGACCCCAAAATTCCAGCAGCAAAACAAATAAAATGTGTGTGCATTTCAAAATGCAATTGTTCATCTGCCCCAAAAAAAACCCCTTCACCACCCCCTTCTCTACCGCCCCAAAAATCAACTGACAAAATTTAAAGCCCTTTTCAGATATTTGTTGTCCACTGCTTTGCATTTGGTGGGTATTATCACTATGGCCTCAAACTTAGTGTTTCCATCTTATTAAAGCAGAACGTGCACAAAACAATCTTTTATGTTTCAGCTCTTCATGTTTTCAGTGAATTACTTGAGTGAAGCAACTCTGCTTTACTCTTTTCTTTGGCGAAAGGGTATATATGCTTCTATGCCTTCAAGTAGGCATATCAAATATATGCGCTTATGTACATATAACCCATCTGAAATAGTTTTGCTGCCTAAACCCATTTTGCTGATTTTTTGGGAGCCACTACTGTTTGCTGTGTTGGTTTTTGTGTGTGCTTTTTGGAATTCGAATTTGAGGAAGTTCCCCTCCCGAAGTCCTTTCATTTAAACAGAGTGACTGTGGCTGCTGTTTGGCCTCCTCCTTTTGGCCTTCTCCCATTTCTTCCCCTCCTCACCACTTCCCACCTTTCGGTTCGAATCCTGTTTGATTTTGGCCAGCCCCCATTCCCCATTGCCATCGAAAAAACTCAAGGTGCAACCAGAAATCTGGTGACTGCACGGGAAAAAGTATCTAACAATGCTGATTATAAACTATATTGGAACTATATTTTATTTTTACATTTTATCTTAATTATATTTTATTTTTTACAATATTTTACGAAGCGTATAGCGGTTATTCATATTAATATATCATATTAAAATGCATGGCATTGATTGAATAACTACTGTTTATTTCGGATTATGACTAAAAACTGCTTCCTACATCTACACAATAAGTATTTTTTTCAGTGTGCAACTCTTGGTTTTGAAACAATTGCCCATGCAAACATTTTTCCTCTCTCTCTCTCTCCCTCTTTCCTCCTCTTTGTTGCTATGGGAAGGAAGAGATGGCCGAGTTGGTGCAGGAGGAGAGGAGGGGGTGCGAAAGGAGAGGTCGCAGCATTTGTCGCCATTTATTTACACGATTAGAAATCGATTTTGTGCGTTCTCATATAGAATTCCATATGAAATGACAGCCGAAACGAACAAATATACAAACAGACATACAGAAAAAAGGGGGGTTGTGGGCGCAGGGGGGACCGGGGGGTTGGGTGACATGTAAGGTCCCTCCTGTATGTGCCGTTATAATGATTTATGTTAAGCTTATTGCCCACACACACACACACACAAAGAGAGAAGTCGAGGGTGTGTGCGAAAGAGATGGAATCGAATCGAAATCGATTTGCGGGCAGAGTAAAAGCAGAGCGAAGAAGAAGAAGCAGCAGCAGCAGCCGGAATCAGCTAACAGTGGCGACATCTGGCGGCGGGCACCTCTTCTAATTTTTTGGCCAAAAAGGAAATCGGAAATGCAAAAAGGAAATTGAAATCAAACAAATGAAGAAGACTTAAATAAACGCAGCTAACGTTTTGATTAGCTTAGTCAATTGATTTGATAGAATGATTAAGGCAAACTAAAAAAAATGCATTTAAAAATGTAGTGTAACTAAAATATTTATTTTTAAACGGCCGCACATTTTAGGTATTTAATAAGCTGTCAGTATAAAGACAGTAATCTTATAAAAATCATTTATGTATCATACATATGCATGTTTTCTTAATACCTAATTATCAATTCAAATTTATACTGACATACATTTCTTATTTGGTATGTCAGCTGTATTGCCTAAATTCCTATTATAAAACAATTATGTGTAGATGTGCGCGAACCAAAATGCTATATTTGAAATTAAAGACAATAAAACAAGTGGCATGTGTTTATAAAACAAACACGGCCAAGAAATGAAAAGAGGCAAAAGAGCAGCCAAACCAAATTGATTAACAACTAAAAGTTCAACGCCGGCAATTAACATGCGAAGTGGAATTGGGGAAATGGCGAAATATGCCAAGAAAGGTACCGAACAGCAGTAATTGGGGGAGGAGGTGAGGAATTCACTCAAAAGGAGGCAGGGCGGTGGAGAAGGGCGGGGGAAAGTGTACAAAACAAAATTCAAAGCCCAATCCACTTGCAGTCTTGTTTTTTCCTCCTTATTTTCCTCTATGTTGTATACCCGTATTTCCGACGAACGTATGTATGTGTAGGTTTGTGTGTGTGCTCGCGAACTCTAGAACGAAACTAGCCTGAAAGCCCATCCCCCTCCGGCTGCCCCCTCACCCAACCGCTTTACAATTTATATACAACTCCAAGAGCAAAAGCAAAAGCCATTCGTGCGCAAATCTCAAATAAAAGCGCGCAGAGCCAGCAACAACAAATAATAGCAGCAGCAGCAGCAACAACAATAACAGCGCGCGACGCCGACTTCTCTGCCGCTGATGAATTGTATTTGTGTGAGCCCAACACACACACACACACACACTCACTCACACGCATAACACATGCGGACAGGGCGGGCTACAAAAAATATAAAATAAAAATTAAACTACAATATGAGCGCAAAAAGAAAAATAAAAGAAAAAATTGAAGCAGAGGTATCGCTTTTGAGAGGTGAGTTGACTCCTCGAGGTGTCTTTGCCTCAGCCGGCGTCGCTGCCGCAGTCGCGGCCCCCTGCATTTGTCACTGTATTCGTGCGGGTACAGTGGAGATTGGCTACTTCAAATTACTTGCTTTTAATGTATAAGCTATGATTCTTGGAAATACATGTAATAGCAATGCACCAATGTACGCATATCTTTTAAATAAAAATGATTTGTTTCGTAATTAGGATTGAAATAACTGGATTGGCACCACTGTAAGCTGATAGATAAACAAGTTTAATGGAACTATAATCATTATTTTTTTTATAAAAAATTGAAATTAAATTTGAATTTTAATTAGATGTTTATTAGAGTTTTAAGTGGTCAGCAAATAGAAATTCATGGTTGTTCCTCCAAGCAAGGTCCCACTGTACGTTGTATTTGCTCTGGCCAGCAGAGTTTGCTCGCATGCGTGTGTGTGTGTGCGTGTGTTTGTTGGCCGCGTCGTGTGCCACTGCTTGTGGCAATTTCCAGAGTTCGCCGTTCGCCGCCTTCCATTGCTCACTGTCACCGCCGAAGTCAAGCCGAAAAACAGCAAGAACAAGAACAAGAGCAAGAACAACAAAGGCAGCAGCAGCAGGAACAACAACAACAACGCAGGGGCAGCAAGAGCATGTGGAACGAAATGAAATGGAATGAAGGACTGAAATCGGCGACGCTACTTCTTTCGCTTCTTCCTCTTCTTTATCCGCTTCGGTTTTTCTGCCTATTTTATTTGTTTGCGGTTGATGGGGAAGGGGAGTGGGGTAGGGCTGTTAAGAGGGGGGTGGAGGTGTCGTATTGAACTCAACGGAAATAATTTAGGGGTGAAATACGTATAATTTTCCATCACAGAACATTATACTCTTTATATCACATATAAATGTGTTTAATTTGGCTTTGAGTTTCAGCTCACCTTTTTTGTTTGTTTTAACTGCTTATCGCTGATTGACTTCTCGTCTTTTTCGCTGCCCATTCATTTGTCACCCACTCACACAAGCACAAACACACTTAATTATTTTTTTTTAGCAATTTCTCGAACTTCTTTGCTCTGATATTTCTGCCTTCTTTATTTCGCACACCCACACAAATGCAATAATTTTCGCCGCGGGCGTTTTTCCTTTTTTATTATCCGCCTTTTCCTTGGCGATGATTTTCACACGAGTGTCACTGTTCCACCCGCACACGCGCAAATTTCCAGCGATTCGCGAATTTTGGCAAGTTCACTTCAACTTTCTATATTATTTGTTAAGCATCAAAATCGATTAATTAAATACGTATGTGCGCGCCGCTTAAGAATCAATCATAATTGTTGTTCAATTTGATCGCAGATGGATTTGATTTAAATTAAGTTCGTTTTATCTTTCGACGTCCGAACGCTTCGATAGAGAAACCGATACTCTTTCATGATTCCGCTCTCTTCGATTTTCGCTGCCTGCAGTTCTGCCGCTGCCGCTGCCACTGCACGAGTGTGAGTGCATGTTAGGCGCTGGCAGAGCCATGTTAACTAACAGAGATGAGAGCGGAGCGGCGAAACAACTGGAATGAAACCAAATCTTGCATGTAGTTGTGGGCACAAACAAACACGCACACATGCACACGCTTCTGTCTATTAATCATTTAATAGTCATCCAAATTATTAGGAATTCTGCGCTTGTTTGCGCAAAACCTTTAACCACATTTTGATTGGCCTTATATTGACAGTGCTTAGAGCAAGCAAGTTGCTTTAGTTGTTGAAAGTACAGTTCCCAGGCTATCTTACCACCTGTCCACACACACACACGTCCATGAAGGTGCACACACTCACGCCGCTTTTGGCCGTCTTCCTGCGCCGCTTACCAAATTGTCAATTCTTTATCAATTCGCCCAGTTCAACCACTTAAACGATATGCAAATCCAATTCCCAGTGCAGCGGAAAAGGCGGCCAGGTGGTAAACTCAACGGATTACGCCATTTCACGCTGGTTTCCCAGAATGGTAGATTATTTGTGATGGCTTAAAGGGGATTTAAAGAAAGTGGTATTTTCAAAACTTCTGGATGGCACAGAGATTCGTTTTTTGGTCCAATTATTACGTTCACTAGTAGGAACATAAAAACTAGGATTGTTTTCATATCTATAGGGTTACTTTGAAGTTTTTAAGCAAATTTTCAGCATCTCTTTGGTATACTTTTTAGTAAATATTTAAAGATCTCAACTGGTATGGACCGCTTCAAGAAACTGAAATTTGTATAACTTAAAGTTAATGATACCCTTAATCAAACATGGAAAACTGAAATGAGCAAACAACGCAAAGACGGGTTTCATCTAGAGAAAATAACTAGATGACATGGAGGTCAAAATGGTTCCTTAAGGTCAGCCTCAAATGTGCCCCACCTTTGGGAACCCCTTGGCGAGATGCAACATATGCGAGTTATCAATAACAAGCGTGTACTTTAATCGTAGAGGCAATAATAAACGTAACTAGCAGCTGGACTTAGAAGTTAAATGTCAGCGGATGCACAGGGAAGTAGCCACTTTTGGCCACTTGTTTGGAGAGTCGCAGCAGGTTGTTGTCGTTGTTCACGAAATGGCCGCCATAGATCTCCGTGCAAAGGGTGCGAACGCGATCCCTGCCCTCCGAGCAAATCGCAGAGGCCGTGAGCAGCTCATGATCCGCCAGCGGAAGTCCAATGCAGTACGAGCGGGAAGCCCTCGCCACGCTGGCCCACATGGCATAGATAAGGGTGCCCACCTCCGCCAGGCGCTGCATTTCACTTTGCCGCTCCACCACCGCGTTGCCGTGCTTGGTGAGCATGAGCTCCACCGCCATTTGGAGACGCGCCACGGACTGCTCAATGCACTGGGCAGGCGCCTCTAAGGAGGGATGCACATGCTCCGACAGCTGCATCTTGGTCTTGGGATTGTCGATGCTGTTGGTGTCCAGGAATTTACCAAAAATGTGACCGGGATTGAAGAGGGGATTTCTGGACTTTCGCACGCCCGTATTTATGGCTTGCTGAAAATATCGAGTACTTAGGGGCCATTACAAACTTGGAATGCACAAGAAACTTACACCCGCATGCTGCAATCCGGTCAGGGCAATGAACATGCCCAAGGTGTCCAGGGACTCGCCTTGCGTGCACAGCTGCGCTGCATCCCGCAATCCCAGCTCCGTAGGCTCGCCGCTAAGCAGACTCTTGGGTCCCACGAGTCCCAGATTCTGGGAGGCAATGGTGTACAGCTGTCGCAGGGTGAAGTACTTCGTTATGGCACTCTCCAGTGTCACATCCTGGGCACGGAACTCATCCAGTATGCCGGCGGTCAGGTAGAGCATGCTCTCCATCGCGTAAACGGAGCACATTGCTCGCGACATCTGGACGCGGGTGAGCTCCAGGTCCCTGTGTTTGAATGAATATGTTTTAAAGATAACATGAAACTGGGAAATCAATTAGTGTACTTACTGCAGCTGGACTCCACACTGAGCGGTGGTCACAGTGTACTGGGCCAATTCGTTTACCAGTTTCTTGGCCAACGATACGCCCACCAGGCTGCCCCTCAAGCGGGAGGAGCGCACCAGCTGCTCCGAGTACCGGTTGCCATCGTGGGGTAGGCCCACCACCTGATCCTCTCCCAATTGAACGCGATCGAAGTGCACACGCCTGATTTCCGCTTTCCGGCAACCGAATGTTGCATGTTTTTCACCCAGCCGCACTCCTTCGTGCTGCGAATCAACCAGAAAGATGGTGGTGCCGCGTCCCAAAGCTGCCGGAACATTCGGCTGTTGGGTTTGGGCCAGAACCAGGAAAAGCTGTCGCTCGCCGGGTGTGCAGATCACAAATGATTTTTCGCCATTGAGCTGCCACTTTCCGGTTTCGTGCACCAGCTCAGCCTTGGTATGAAAGTAATCCTCCTCGGGTGGAGAGATCTCATATATAGCCTCGGTGCCTATCAGTTTACCCGTGGCCAAGTCCTGGAGATACCTCTGCTGTTGCAGCGGAGTTCCCACCTCCTTCAGCAGATCCACAACCACGCGATGCGTTTGCAGGCCCAGCGTGGCATTGATATCGGTTGAATCCGGCTCACTGGCCATGAGACTGGCACTCCAGCCATAGCCTTTGCCCTCGTAATCTGTGGCCACATTTAGACCATAGAGTCCCAGCTGGCGGAGTGTCTCCGGGGAGGTCTCCTCCGTTTCCCGGGGCTCCACAAAGTAGTTCTTCAACGGCAGCAGGTTATTCTCCAACTGGGCCATCTCATCCCGGGGTATCACCTCCGGATAGGCCAGCAGCTCCTTGTCCACCACCCCGATGAAGAAGTTCTTGGCCAGCGGCTCCCTGGTTGGTAGCTTTTGCTGCTGCTCCGGCGACTCCTCCACGGATTCCGCTCTACCGCCCTCGGTGGTCGCCGCATCCTGGTGCTGGGAGTCCAAGCTGCTGGTGGTGGCCTTGGTGCTCCTACCCCGAGTCAGCAGTTTTCCATTGCGGCTGTATGTCAGGAGTCGCGAGGCGCCGGAAAACAAATTGGGCCGCATATTTACCAAGAAATTAGGTAAGCCCCGATAGGTTCGCACGAATATATCGATAGCGCTGGCCAGTGGGACCAGCTAAGGATGGACTCAAATATACCACAAATTCGCAGCGGTGCTTTTGTGAAATACCCTAAAGCGTTGCTGAGCTGATCGAAGTGCTATAAAAATTGGAAGAACGACCGTTACATCTTGTGACTAATAATTCTATAAAATGCAATCCATTTTACTAAAAAAAAATAGGTTTTTAAAACAATTTTCCACTGAATTCTATAAATGAATAACTTTCTCTTTCAGCTCAGAGATTAAAAAGTTAATTTAATTGAAGTGCTTCAAAAACAAAATAGACAAAAACTATATAGCTTATTCTATTTGATTGAAATTTGAATAGATATTTCATTTTTCGTTTTACTCCTGAATTTGTTTACCTTAACCAAAAAAAAAAACACATTCCCTTTATTGAATCATTGTATTGTATATTGGTGTTATTGTTACACATATAATTGCTATTGACAGCGCACATTAAGCTCTCTACTTAAAACAAATTGAACAAAGTAAATTGTATGATTCTCAGTCGATGGTTTTAATGCATATCCCCATCGACCATTTCTTTATTGTTTCGCTTTTTTGTTTTTTTGTTGGTTTTTTTTTCGAGTTTATCTCTTTTTATATGTAATTTTTCATACCACCTAGATTGAAAATTTGTTAATAGCTGTGTAGTACGTTGTTATACAATAGTTATAGTCAGGTATCAATTGGAAAATAAGAATTTGGTTAGAATTCAACACATCTAGATCCGTATAGTAGTCATATTATTGAAGTACAGATGCGCTTGAAGTTGGCGATTGCATGGCGTGCAAAAAACTCCAAGCACTTATTGCATATGGAAAACAAAATAGGGTAACTTATCCGTAGTTTGTAAACAGACAAACAAAAAAAGGGAAGGAAAATGACAAAATGTAGTCGTCAATTGTATTTAACTAAAAACTCTATTAGAAATACCCCACATGCAGCTCATATCGTATCACAGGCACGCTTAATAGACACTCTCAGAACGGAAATACGAAATTAAAATCGAAACTAGCGGGTTAATTCATTTGCAACTTGCACTCAACGAAATCATTTGTATCTTTTAATTTCTGGCTGGTTAAAACACACTACACTACACACTAACAACAACGATCGATATGAGCGCACTTCTGATCTGAACTGATCTCCTATTACCCAAAAACCTACTACAAATCGCTGACCCCATTCACAAATTGCCTTTAAAATTGCTGACGCTACACGACGATTATGGTACATAAATATATATTTAAATATATATTGTATGTAGATATATGCGTAGTTGCCTCCCTTGCGTTTTCACACTCACACATTGCATAGTTCTTAGTATTGCTAGTTGCTCCGCTTCACCCTCGTGTTGTGGACCCCAAAAGATGCAGATACAGATCGAGATAAAATTGCAGTTACAGATACAGATCCTTTTGCTTCGCTCGTCTGGCTGACCGGCCGATTCGATTGCTTTCATATTCAACATTTTTACTTTCGCAATGTTTTCGCACACAATTCTTGCATTAGTTCCAATTCATCGATGCAAATTCAAACTAAACGAACAAAAACCTCGCACGAGGTGAGGTGAAGTACCAAAAAATATTAAAGGAAACTAAGCTTAGGTATAAGTTAAACGATAACTAGTAAAGCAATTGGTTGGTTGTCACACACACACACAGGAGTTTGTTCCGCCACCTGCCCTCCGTATCTTCCCGGTATCTCCCGCTTATGCTCCTCCTCCTCCTCCTCCTCCTCCTCCTACAATTGGTACCTGGGCCACTGCCAGAGGTCCCTTGCCTCCCGCTGCTGCCACTTGTTGTGGAGCTGCCTGCACAGGCGGCATAGCAGCTCAAAGGTGCCGCCCAGGGCTTGCAGTAGCTACTAAATCCTGCCGGCGCTCTCCTGTCGCGCACTGTAGCGCGGCT